GGGGACAGGCTGACTTCTCACTGCATGCTTTGAGCCCTCCGAATATTTTTTAACACATTCATGTATGAAATATTCATAGAGAAAGAGAAAACAAGAAATGTTGGCTAATAATAGTAATATGATTACTGACAGACACACAGCATTTTCAGGAAATCCAGCATAAACTCTTTTCAGTCTCCAAGCTTAAAAAAAAGGAGAGTATCACCTTGCACTCACAGAATTTTCTCTGCTGCCCCACCCACAAAATAGGTGAGGAGGGCAGTGAGCCTCTGGGGAGGCTGTGAGATTGAGATTCAGGCCAAGTGTTAAAGGCAAACAGAGCCACCGGGCAGGCTGGGTCCCTCCTTGGTGGAGCCCACAGACCCGAAGTTCAAGTCCACAAACGCCACAGAGCAGCAAGAGGAGCAGCCAGCACGCATCACAGACCTCAGGGCTGCACGCCAATGCCAAATCCAAGAGCACTAATGCCAAAGAGGCATCACGTGGGTGGTCAGCCACACAACCAGGCCAGAGGCCAGGGCAGTCTCACCAAAGACAACCTGTGTCCAGACGATGCTGGTGCCCACTACTGCTTGGTTAGGGATATTCCCTAGGTGCTACTGGGGATACCTGCGTATGTCAGGACTCCACCCCCACACCTCCGAGATGGTGGCAAATCCGGCCACTAAGCAAATGAAAAAAAAAAAAACCAACCCAGACAGTGGAACGGCATCACTTAATCCTAGAAAAGATCTCCTTCCTCCCCCTGCAGAATCTCACCGACAAACTGCAGCCCAGAATACTAAGCCATTCCAGCTGAAAGCAACCTCGAGATGGCCTATTTTAAAGAAAGAAACGGGGGTGGGCATGGGGCTGCCGGGAGAGTGCTTGCCCGGCATGCGTGAGACTCTGAGTTTGATCCCCAACACTGCACCAAAAATAAAAAAGGAAAAAATGCAGGGCCTGAGGGGAACGGCAGTCCCAGCAACACCCCAGTTTACTGTGAAACACCAAACTCCTCGCCCTGTGAGGGTAAGGATGCCCCCCCCCATCCACTGCATCCCAACCCACTAACACCAGGCCGGGGCTCCAGAAGGAGCTCAGTAAACAGGAGCATCAACAAACTCCTCCCTTCTGGGAACTGTATAAACAGGTCCCGGGTGGGAAAGGACACAGTGTAACTTGGTCCAAGATGGCTCTATGACCACATTTCCCCCACATGTTTCTCAAAGACAGGAACCTCCCACACATTCTTCTGCCTACAGCCTGCAGGAAGCCCCTGCCTCACCTGGCCAGGAAAAGACACTTCACAAACACCAGGCTGAGCCGGGCGTGGTGGTGGTGGTGTGGGCCTGTAATCCCAGCACAGAGGTGGGAGGATCAATAAGAGTTCGAGTCCAGCCTGGGCTACACAGTGAGTACAAGGCCAGCCTGAACTACACGTCGAGATGTTCCTCGGAAAACCAAAAAACAAGCAAACAAAACACGAGGCTGCATTCTCAAGAGGACCTAAGCTCAGGGAAATCCTCCAAGTGGCCATGCAAGGCCCTTACACTTCTTGAGCCTCGGTTTTTCCCATCCCTTCATCCCTGGCTGCTGGAAGAATGAGAGAAGATGAAGCACCTCATTAAAAGTCAGTTACAATTACAGCACAGACGGACAATGTGCACCCACATTTTATACCAAAGGGCTTCATAAAGCCAGGTGCCTCTTACACCACCTTCGGCAACACAGGTCCAGCTGCAGAAAGGGGTGGGAAGGACAGAAGCTGGCAGTGGGAGGCACAGAAAAGAGGAACAAAGGTGGCCTGGGCCAACCAGAGTTACCCAGTGGGTGCTGCAGGGAACTGACAAATACAAAGCATCTTAAAATCACCAGTATTCTCAACCCCTATCCTTACGTCTCCACTTCCCCTCTGAGCTCTTCTGGACATTCTGTAAAAGCTACAAAGAGAAGGTATGAGAGAGCCCCAAAGTTTCCCTCAGGTAAGGGACAGAGAAGAGGTGGGAGGGGTAAAGGAACTCAACTTGTGTCTCCACAGAGAGGGGAAGACACAGAAGAGGAAAAGGAGCAAACAGTACCACCAGAATCTAGCTGATTCAAAGCCCCCTCTGCTGGAAGGACAGAGGCCCTGTCCTATTAGTGCACCTGTCGGAAAGGGTGGCCCTGTACCTGTGTAAAGTGGGCGGGGCGCTTCCCAGGACTTAGCCACCTCCTGACCCATAGGCACTGCCCGCCTCGTAGAACAGGACATTACACTTGCTGACGGCTCAACTCGGCCTTGCTAGGAAAGTGTCGCTGGGGACAAGACAGCAGTGGCAGAAGCCCTGGGAAGACAATGAGGGCTCCTTCTGTCACAGGCGCCTGGACGGAGAGCACATGGGGCTCCTTGTAGAAGGTGCAGGAGAACAGAAGTATGGAGCCTACCCCCTGACACCACTTCCCTACCTGTACAACAAGGGCTGGGCAAAATGATCTCTTCCTGTCTAGATAAGGTGTTTTTGGTTTTGGTTTTAGTTTTGATTTTTTTGGTTTTTGGTTGTGTTGTTTTGTTTTGCTTTGTTTTTGAGGCAGGGTCTTGCTACATGAAGCTCAAGGTGGCCTCAAACGCGTGGTAATCCTCCTGCCTCAGCTTCCCAAGTGCTGGGAATACAGACACGTGCCACCATGCCTGGCTCTAGATAAGGTTTTTACATTTTTAAGGCATGACATTCAACTGAACAACTCATCCCGGTCCACCAACCACCAACACCGCCCTGCACATTCAGAGCAGAGCTCCAAGTCGTCTCCAACACGCCTGGGCTTTGTCACTGGGATATTCACAGACAATTCATCATCAACCAATACTGCACCCCGGACCCTGAATGTCTAACACATGACAATGTCCATCCACATGTCTCTTGGTCCACTAAAACCTCAAGGGTGTTGACACCAAAAAAAAAAACCAGCAAAAGGCCCAGGTCACCATGTTAACAGTTGGAGCATTTTGCAGCCGGTATATAAACATGGCCACCAGAGGGCACTGCCCTGGAAATAATAACGAAGCAACAGAAAAACTCTTCGGTGTTTTCTTTTCCTTCTTAAGCTTGAGTAACAAAACATCTAAGCTTCACTAATGAAAACATAAAGTGGGATTCCTGGGGTTGTAGAACAGCCCAAGGCCTTCTGCCTTCTCTGTGAAGTCAGTATTTGGACAAAGGAAGGCAACTAGACCTTGAATTAACCCTCCCAGAGAAACTGTCTCCACTCTAATTTCCCCCAGAATGGTTACCATCGTGGGGTGTCCTGAAGCTCCCATCTCTTTAAAGGTAGGGTGCCAACAAGATGGGGAAGGGGACCTGCAGGTCCACCAGGAGGGCCCCAGGCTGTCCGGACTGTCTTCTCCAGCCTGCTACCCACCCAGCGAAACACATCCACCCAGACAGACACAGAAAGACACAAGCACAGACAGCTACCAGTAGATAGGGTCCAAGGAAAGATTAACTGGGATTTCCCAAGTCTTGTAAGACGACAGGGGGAGCTCCAGCGCCCCACATCAGAACTGGACTTCAACAACAGCCAAAGGAGCGTCTCCGAATTTCTCCAGTGTCCAGGGCACCCTGTCCTCTGCGTGTGAATCTGCGGTGCAGGGTTCAAGGGTCCTTTCCTAACGTTCCCAAAGCCCTAGGCCCCATTTTCAAAGCTGTGGCTGTGAGTACCTCCTGATTGCCGCAGGTGTCCCCAGGTTACTCTGCACGCCCTGCAGACCACGAAGAGCCTGCTCTCTCCTAGAGAAGCCTAACTGCAGGAGGGAGCCAAACGCACCCCAGAACCAGGCGCTCCTGTGGACAAGACTCGTCCCTCTGGCTGCAGAGAGAGGACTATGCGTGGGACTCCAACACGGCTCAGGAACACCAGGCCCTTGGGGCAGCTGTGAGGGGCGCTGAGGCGCTGCCAGGCCTGCCTGCATGTGCCAACTCAGTCCCTCGCCTCTTGTGCCAGGAGATAAGGAGACCCAGCCAGACGATGCTACGAGATGTTTGGGGACCCACCGGGGATGAAAATGCAAGTTGGGCCCATTTTCAAAAGCCAAATCCGCTAAGTGGAGTCACTGCGTAACAAAAGGTTTCCACCTGGAGTGTGGAAGCGCTCAGGGAGGCAGATTCCACCAGGCAAAGGGGACTTAAGTAACAGCTTCTAGGGGCAAAGCCACAGTCACAGAGCAAGGCAAGGCATACTTGAACCAACACTTGGCACGTCTGTAATTTATTAAAAATGTGATCTATTAAGCCCCAGTCTCCACCACAGAGCTCCAGCACGGAAGGGGTACCCAGCCTAGACGGCTGGAAGGCCATTCTACCCCACACGCCCTTACCCAGCACCTTCTAGGCACCAGCTACCCCAAGCCCTGGGACCCCAGGTAGGGCATTCCCACCCCTCTGCTGAAGTGCTTCCCTTCTCAGACACGTGGCCCAGAATCACCACCCTGGCCAATTTACAAGGCTGCCGGAGGCTCTAATGAGACAGCAAATCACCAGACACAAGCCAAGTGTTGCTGCTCGCTTCAGCTGGGCTCAACTGGGTGATATGCAATGACAGCGCCGGGAGCCAAGCACACGCGGGGCACACAGTAGGTGGTGGACAGACGCTGGTGCCCTTCTCCACTAAGGGGAAGGAGACTGAGGAAGAAACACGCCGGTCCAAAAGTACGTTTAAGTCCCCGGTGACAGCGTGGACTCCCCGATTCTCCAGCTCCCTTCGCCAACCTCCAGCAGAGTTCCCACCTCGCCCCGGCCGGCTGGGGGCCGCCGGGCCGGGTCACAGTGCACCTGAGAGCCCCGGTCTGAGCCCATCGCCCCTGCTGGCCATCGCTTCCCTCGGACACTGCCCCCAGCCCCACGGCCACGGGGCTCCTCGGACCCAGCCTCCCCGCGCGCCGCTCCTTCCCGTTTTGCTCTCGTGTCCCCGGCGGCCGCTGAGGCTGAGCCGGGCTCAGGCCGGGGGTGGGGGGGGTCCCCGGGCGCCGAAGCGTCCCTCCTTACCTGCACAGCTCGGCGAAGGCCTGGAAATTGAGCTTCTTGATTTTCTTCTCGCTCAGCCAGTAGCCGACTCTCTTCCCTTTCAGAAAGGTCTGCATCTTCCTCCTCGGGCGGGGAGCCTGGGTCCGGAGGAAATCGCCCAGAGGCCGAGACTGGGGCCAGCGCGCGCCGCGAGCGTGCGGGCACCTCCTCCCAGCGGCGGGGACGCGGAACGCGCTCGGGCGCGCAGCCCTGCGGGGC